TGAATGCTGGCGTCTCATCACCTCGAATCTCTGCCCGTACCTGTTGCAACCCTCGCAAGTTGTTTCGCTTCGCATATACTTTGCACCGACTCTTGGGCGGTGGATCACCGTGACCTGGCTTCCATGGACTGAACATTCAATGCTGTTTCGACGGCTGTAATGCCGCTAAGCCATCCCTCGACATGGTTTAGTCGTGTATTGAATGGTCAGCGCGCCTTCGTGCATTTCTGCTCACATTAAGAGACACAGACCAACTTGGCTACTTCGAGGGTACAGAATTGGAGGGCGCAAAAGCACCCGATGGATCACTCTACCTCAAGGTCGCCAGATCAACGTCAACTTTGAACTGAGTGTATGAGCGAGGATACGAGACGCTGAGACAAGAAGGTTTTCCTATGAGGGATCAGATGTACTGATTATCCGACATCACCTGGGAAACACGGGAATGTTTATCAAGAGCAACATGCAACACAGGAATCTAAAAGGGGGTAACCATTGTGTGTAGGAGGACAACAGAATACTAGGAGAGAACTGCGGCTGGGTCGTCCATCTGTCTTCTTTTTGTGGACCATGGCGCGAGCGTCGGACTCTGTTCTACTCTGAGAACACGAATCTCAGAATCAAGATTCTTAGAAGAACTTCTCAGGGACTCGGAGCGAGTATCATTAATTGGGCACCGAGAACGAAATGTATGATGATTGATGTAGTAGAAAGTGGAGTGCATTTCACCGTGGAAAGGTTGAACTAGCTGGCGCACTGTTATGATCTTATTCCCGACGAATTGACAGAGTGAATAAGGCTAGTAGAGTAGTTGAACTATACTCACCAGTACGGAGTCCGGATTTGACTTTCAAAAATCAAATTCTATTCAAATAAGTTAGGATCACGTGCGCGTGTTGATGGGAACGCGTTGTCGGAGTCGAATTGTAGGCCACATCAATCCATATCTGACGCATCAGAATCATCAATGGTCCACAACATTTGCGCCACACTGGTCGACCAGATATAAGGCAGGCAGTCTTTTATGTTGTCTTCTTAATTTTTCCTCCTCACCAACTCTGCTCATAACACTCAATCAGCGTAATCATTGACACTGAACGTCTAGTGACATGTCCCCTGCCGGCGAGACTGGCACTTTGTCTACCCCTCCACGCGCCAATGCATCAGCTCCAGGTGCTGGTAAAATAGAATCCACCCCAAACAGCCGCGGGGCCTCCGTCATCAGCGAGAACATCGGCGTGCTTGGTGTCAAGTGCGTACATTTCCTGTCTTCATCGAGTAGAGCCTGACATTCCATCGAGGGTTAGGAAGGTCGGCCCATGGATTCAACGGGATATAGAGCAGGTCAAGGAGTGCAAGGCAGATGCCATGCTGCAAGCCCTCCTTCAGCGCGCTTCTTCTGCTCCCAAGACTAAACAGCCCGAGCTTCTGCAAAAGTGTCTCAAGGCTGTTCTGCCTGTTTGCAATGGACAGACTTCTACTGCCCTCGTAAAGTCTTCTGACATCCAGACAGCCCTCAACGAATAGTGAGTGATTTTTCTAAGTGCGCTGATTGGACGTTTTCAAACTCATAACCATCGCAAGCGTATGTCCAGGGGTAGAGAACCACTTCTATAGCCCTTTTATAAGAGCCACTAACATTGCCCTCGCTTGTCTCGAAGAGATCGAGGTTGATGGGATGCGTGCTCCTGTCCCTGCCGTGGACATGATCTGCCAGCAGAACGATATGCCCATGCACCAGATGCACCAGACCAAGAAATCAATTCGGAAGCCCGACGTCGTGATTCTTCCATTGAATAGCGCATGCGCTCCCTTCCAGGATGAGAAGGGCAGCAAGAAGGGTAAACAGACTGGTAAACAGAAGAGTAAACAGAAGGACAGGCAGAAGAACGACGAAAAGGACGACGAGAAAAACAACGAGAAGGACGACGGAAAGCACAACGAGAATGATGACGGGCAGCGCCAGACGAGGCGCAAGGCTCATATGGACATGAATGCAACGGCAAAGCCGCAAAATCTCCCATGGAAAGATGTTCTAGCTTGCATCGAGTTCAAGAGAAAGACGAAAGGGATTAAGGCGCCCCCCTCTTCGTATACATTGACAGACTATGCCCCTACCAAGCCAGAATATCTGCCGGTCGATCATCTTAGAACTGCAAACCCAGCTCCAGCCGCTCCTCAGACCCCAGCAACACAAACTGCAATCGACACTGCATGTAAGTGATGATATTTGCGATTCTAGGATCGAACTAAATTGGCCAAGTCGCAGCTCAATCTTCTGGCCTTACTGCCGCCCAGCCTTCGCGGGGCGGGTCCAGCTCCAAACGCAAGGCCACAGACACTTTGGAATCTGCTGCGAAAAAATCCAAGGGGAACCACGACGACAAAGACGCTGACGCGGACGCTGCCGTGGACGCGGATGCGGACGCGGATCTAGATGTGACCGTTCAGACGGGTCTGTACGCCGCCGAAATGTTCGCAGCGAATCTTGCAGCCAACTATCTGCTGAATATTATTGTCGTCGGTGAGTTCGTTCGTCTGTTGAGATTGGCTGCGCTCTTATTAAAGCTTTTTCAGATGATGTCGCGTGGATCTGGTATTATGATCGACAAGGGATCATTCAATGTTCAGGCATCAACTTCATTCAAGATCTCCCGCGATTTATGGTGCTGTTGTATGCTTTACAACGCTTCGACCTTCACGATTGGGGCCGAAACAAAGACTTCCTCCCAATTGAAGTTGAGGGGAAACTATGCCACGAATTCAGAATCAATGATGAAAAACTTGGAGAGGTGGATCTGCTGCTTCACACCAGCCACGACGAAAGAGTGACGCACTACGGACTGCAAGGGCGGGCGACCAATGTGGTCCCTGTCACCAGCGAAGCGCTCACGAAGAAATACGGCAAGTTCGAGGATGGGATGGTGGCCAAGATCTTTTGGGGAGAGGCGAGTCGCACTAGCGAGCCGGAGATTCTGAAAAAGGTTGAGGAGATCGCCAAGAGGCACGCAACTGTCCAAGGCCACGTTCCTGAGCTGCTTTGGCACCACACGTTCACGAATCCCACGTCCGCAATTCGAGAAGCGCTTGACGTTCCGGAACCTACTACGGGCAGTCGCGTGCTCTACATTCTTGTGTTCCGCAAGCTCTTCCCCATTACTCAGCTTCACGGCAAAGAGCTTTTTGACGTATGGCGTCAATGCATTCTATGTGCGTGTTTCATTGAATTTACGTGGCTTTCATTGACATGGCGTGCAGGCCACGTTACCCTTTGGAAGGAAGGGGTCTATCATCGAGATGTCAGCCCTGGAAATCTGATGTGGTACTGGAGGGGCGACAAGCGGATAGGCGTTTTGAACGACTACGATCTATCCTCATTGGCGGATGACCCAGGTCCTAGGGGCAACGAACGCACAGGCACGGTGCCGTTCATGGCACTCGATCTTCTCACCAAAGAGGGTCAACGAGGTGAAGTCAAACACCTATATCGTCATGATCTGGAGTCGTTCATGTGGTGCTTCGCCTGGATCTCTTTGCGTTACAAGAATGGAGCTCCACTACCACGGAGATTGCGCCCCTTGGATGAATGGGCGACTTTAGACGCCGTGGCATGTGGCGAGAAGAAGTACGTTTTTCAGGGTCATATGACAGCTTCCGCACCCTCCGGATCGGGCATAGACGGAGTCACATGGGATTTCCTGGTGGACTCTTTTTTGGTGCTTAAAAAAGATGCCGACGAGCGATACTATCTTCGCCTTAAACGGTCGTCGAGCTCAGGAGAAGGCCAGCAGCCCAATGCTCATGACCCAGAACCCGATGCTTTTCTATCTAGATTTACGAGTTTAGAGGGTTGGACCAAGCTCAGCAAGCTTGAGTGATTTTTTTTTACTTGTACATACCCAATATTCGGTTCTCTGCGTATCGATACTCGTAACTTTCAGTTGTAGATTCACAATACAAGTGGTCGACTGTTCATTTCCCATAGAGTCGTGGGTGAATGCTGGGAGGGAGTCAATATCTCGAATTCAACAAGTACTATGTATCTTCCATCCAAATCCTGGCTCTGAGTTGCAACTTGTGATGGAGTGCGACGTATAGACGGTGTTTCGACTAAGTTGTGCCACATCTGTCTTCTTTCTGTGAACCATGGCATGAACTTTGGAATGCCTCCTGCAGTGAGGGGCTCGGAGTGACTCGGAGTGTCATGATTGATTGAGTACAGAACGCTAGTGCAGAACAGAATTTACGTGGTAGACAGCTGAGTCCCCTCACTATGAAAAACATGAACCATCTGACGCACTGCTATTTATCTTACTTCTAATTGACAAGGTGCTAGAGTATAGAATCTAGATGAATCTTACTAGTACTACTGACTACAACAGTTGACTGAATCAAATAAGTCTGGATGCTCCTTTCTCTTGTGTTTCAACAATGGGAAGCACAAGAGAAAGGAGCATCCAGACTCCTAAGGATCTTAATTTCCGAGTCGGCTCACCTGATTGGGGTCCTGAGACTCTGTGACACGACGATAAACGGTACAAACCACACTGAACGAGCCATCAAAAACCGCTGGATGTCAAAAATAAATCAAAGCCTACAACTAGGTAGAATGATAGGAAGAAACCGCACCAAAAACTTTGAAAAGATAATTACCGCTACATGGTCAGAAGTGATAACAACTAACGGTCCCATACCCAAAAACTGGGCCATCGCCCTCGAGGTTTTAGTGGGTATCACACTACCCAGGCCCTCTTTGAACGAGGCAACCAGGTAGTAATAGAGTCCCACACACCCCACGAAAGTGGGAGTGCGTAAGTGCATTTTCCTCTCGGACCGGAGTTCAATGAACCCCGCTATAGCGCGTACTTGTAGAACTACATTTTGTCAGTTGCACAAATACACATCGCTTGTGCAAGAAAAAAAAAGAATCAAATAAGTCAGGGTCACGTGCGCGTGTTGTTAGGAACGCGTCGTCGGAGTCGAACTGTAGGTCATTGATCAGCCCACATGACACGCCAGATTGACGGATAGTTCACCACATTTGCACCACACTGGTCGACCAGATATAAGGCAAGCCTCGATTCATGGTGCTTTTGTATACTCTACAACGATTCGATCTTCACAATTGGGGCCGAGACAAAGGATTCCTCCCAGTTCACGTTCAGGGGAAGCGATACCACACATTTAAAATCAAGGATGAAAAACTTGGAGAGGTGGATCTGCTGCTTCACACCAGTCACGACGAAAGAGTGACGCACTACGGATTGCAAGGACGGGCCACCAATGTGGTTCCTGTCACCAGCGAAACGCTCACGAAGAAATACGGTAACTTTCAGGATGGGATGGTCAAGATTTTTTTTGGGAGAGGCGAATCGCACCAGCGAGCCGGACATCTTGTACAAGGTTAAAGAGATCGCTGAGGCGCACGATACCGTCAAAGACCATGTTCCCCAGCTGCTCTGGCACCACAAGTTCATGAATCCCACGTCCGCCGTTCAAGAAGCGCTCGGCGTTCCTGAACCCACTACGGGAGGTTGCGTGCTCTATATTCTTGTATCCCGCAAGCTCCTCCCCATCACGAAGCTTCAGGGAAAAGAGCTTTTTGATGTCTGGCGTCAGTGTATCTCATGTACGTGTTTCATTAAATTTACGTGTCTCCTTGTCGACATAGCATGCAGGCCACCTTACTCTTTGGAAGGAAGGGGTCCCACCATCGAGATGTCAGCCCTGGAAATCTGATGTGGTACTGGAAAGACAGCAAACGGATAGGCATTCTAAACGACTACGATCTATCCTCATTGGCGGATGACCCAGGTCCTCGGGGCAACGAACGCACAGGCACGGTGCCGTTCATGGCACTCGATCTTCTCACCAAAGAGGGTCAACTAGGTGAAGTCAAACACCTATATCGTCATGATCTGGAGTCGTTCATGTGGTGCTTCGCCTGGATTTCCTTGCATTACGAGAATGGAGTCCTTCTACCACGGAGATTGCGCCCATTGGACGAGTGGGCAACCTTGAGTGCTGTGGCATGCGGCAAGAAAAAATTATTCTTTCTCAATAATATGACGGCTTCCGCACCCTCCGAATCGGACATAGACGGAGTCACATGGGATTTCCTCGTGGACTCTTTTTTGGTGCTTAAAAGAGATGCCGACGAGCTATACTATCTTCGCCTTAAACGGTCGTCGAGCTCAGGAGAAGGCCAGCAGCCCAACGCCCAGGACCCAGATCTCGATGCCGTTCTATCTAAATTTACAGGTTCAGAGGGTTGGGCTAAGCTCAGCACACTTGAGTGATTTTCTTTACTTCTTGCCCTATACGCGGTTTCCAGTTGTATATCTACAATAAAAGCAGCCGGCCGTTCGCTTACCATAGAGAGTCGTGCGTAAAAGCTGGGAAGGACTAAATGCCTCGAACCGGCGCGTTGCATATTGTCATCCATTCATTTGTGAACTCCAGGATCGTGCTGAAGTCCCTCTTTTGGCTCACAACGGCTTCGATCATCTATACTAGGCAATCCCATTGCGCATCATTCTGCACGAGCGGTACTTGCGCAAGGGGTATCGTGTATGGGCTCTGCCTGCACGACCAATGGTTCGTGTGCGGGTAGCTTTGCGATGAGCACCCTTTCTATTACCATACCTTCTCGAAGACCATTCTGACAGCGTGGTAGTTGTAACAGTCCTGGATGGACGTATTGCAAGTTTCTTCCTTGGATGAGAGCGAGATGAAATCCTGACTTTGAGTTGCAATAGTGGTGTGCAATATATTGACGTATATTATGGTGGAGCTTACCAGCTGCGTCAAAGAGAGATACGTGTATTTCGTGTCACTTAGCTTGGTGAATCGACGCTCACGTGTGGGCCGTAGTACAATGCTTAAGGGCCCGGGCAGTACGAGACGGCGGCGGCAGGGTGAAAATTGGCGAGAGGCCTGGCAGACTTCTACCACGGAGATTGCGCCCATTGGACGAGTGGGCAACCTATATTGTTCTATAACGTTAGCTACACCTATCTAGGCACGCTTCTAGCTGTTTCACGACTAAACCGAGATTTCAGAATCCCGAAGGCGCTAGATGTTGAGTGTGGCGTCGCGTCTGACCACTGGCATAATGCTGGATGTCGGCACTTTCATTCTGAGACACTTACCTCACCAAATCAAGATTGGGACAATCATTTCTCAATCTCGCTTCGGCGGTCCAGCGCCGGGTAACGGTATTATATCCGGCATAAACGATACGTTAACCAAGGCCTTCACTCATCCTCTACTACCATGACCTTGGTCTCAAATATTCTCTTTTTAGGACCGTTCATCAAGACGAGTCGTGTCGACAGCTACTTTGCAGGTTCGTGGAGAACGAGTCTAATGATGGTGATGTGTCAATCTGACTTTGGCTGCGGTTTTGCAGTCGCCTCCGCTGTTGGGTTGATGTATGATTGGGGTGAGCACGACTAAGCATGAAAGGCACTGATATCCTCATGGCGTTTTCCAGCACTTACATTCGGTCAAGAGGTAGGTCGATGATATTACTGAAGCAGCCATCTGACTAAGAATGCTGTCATAGGTGGAATTGATCTGGGTGAGCATCAATAACACGACGAGAAAACGCAACTAATCATTCGTGGCAGAATAGACCTTGGTCCCTCATGACGGCATCGTATATAAGTGTATGTGGTTTGTGTTATCAATGTGGCGGGCAAGTTGTGTTGACTTGAAAGGATCTTAGGTGCGCTATGTTGGACTAATATATTCCGTGTATGTTGGGAAGGTTAAGCAATCGGTGTTGTGCTAATCTGTCATCTGTCATGATCAGCATCAGAGTATTGCGTATGTCTCTTTGCACATACTGTTTTCATTTCTTCTGACCGGCAACATACAGTGTTTAGTCCAGCGACAGCTGCAGTGAGTATTCTGTTTCTATGCCTGCATTCTTGATCAATCATCTGCACTCCCATGTAGGGGTGAGTGAGCTTCTTGACCGAATTCTTAGTTCAACATAACGATTGCCATAGCTGTGAGTTTTTATTCGGGCGTACGATCCCCCATAACGTTACTGAATTTATCAGGCCCTGGTGGGTACCTCGCACTAGATTGGATGTGTGTCATCACAAATGCTATACTGGGCAGTAAGCAGCGCTGTTGCAATACTTCCGTGGTATTGAATTGACTGAAACATTACACAAGTCATCATGATTGCTCGTTTACATGCCATGTATCAGCGATCCAGAAAAGTGCTGGCATTTCTTGTTGTCATCTTCCTGATTGTCAACGTCGCCAACGGGGTGCTCACGGGAATAATAATGAAGAATGTTTCAGGGGGTAAGCTTGATTGCGGGTGAAATACAGGTGTACCAGGCTCATCGACAAATACCAGATGTAGTCGTTCTCTCAGGCATGTATCAGTGCAACGTTAGCTTTGTAGGAGACAGCGTACTCCTGTATTCCACGACTTGGGTACTGGTCACTGTATGGGAAGTTATCACACTGTGTTTCGCAGTCTGGATCGCTACGATACACTTCCGTGAATTACGGCGCTCATCGGCAGGGGGTTTTATCGGGGACTGTTTCACGGTGTTGATTAAAACTCATGTGCTTTACTTTGCGGGGTGAGTTCATGATGTGAATGTGATTCTTTTGACTGCTGAAGTTTTGCCGATACTAGCTTTATTCCCATTTCTTGCTTCAACCTTGCTTATCTGTCCCCGAAAACCCCAGTGGTATGTCAATCTTTCACTGAACTCTGCATGTGTGCACGGTTCACCATCCTATAGGAACTATATTCCACGAAATGTCACATTTATATTGGTTTTCTTCAAATTTGCTCACTGGCGGGGAAGTTTGTGCTGGGACCACGCCTGATCCTTGGTGTTCGAGAGTATCACGCTAGGCTTGTGACCGACTCAGATGTAGCAACTGGCATGACTTCAATGGTTTTCGAGGAGCGCGTGTATGACGGGAAATGCTCGCCATGATTAACACTTGTTGGGACTGTGCAGAGAACGAGTGATCTTTTTTTGGTATCCATGTGTTACTGTATCTGGTATTCTAAGTGCTCGAGCTGAATTTATCGTTTATCAAGTTTACAACGCGCTCTGTGACTTCGCAGTTAAGGAAGGCGAAGAGATTCGTGAATAGAGTAGTCGTCGACGGCGATCGTCATGCCCTTAGTATGAGATACATGAAACCAATTCTTTTTTACTAAGTCGATACGGTCGATAAGTCCATGTCAATAATAGATGTTGATGCTACAATGACAATGATTAATTATAGGTACAAACCGAAATAATCTTCAATACATACCTGGCGCACCTCGTTTTCGACAAACTCTCATGTCGGTATGTGGTACATTGCTAACACAGCTATGTCGCTTCTCAAAACACGATCCTTGGCCATGTCGCCGAGGGCTTTTTAATTCGCCATCCGCCTGACCTCCATCCGTGACATCCGGTATCATGTCGGAGTCGCTCCCCTGGGCTCGCAGTACAGTAAGTGCATGGATCCTTCAGGCTCGGAAATTATACTGCGCATTATTCTCGGACGAGTGGCACTTGTGCAATGATGCCATATATACGTTCTGCATGTGGCCAACAGTTCGTGTGGGCAGCTTTGCGACGAGCATCCTTCCTGTAATCGTACCTTCTCGAAGACCATTGATCGCTTTATGTTCGTATCGCTACTCTGGCATGGGGTTCAGATTGAGTTTGACGCCTGATGGGGTAGGACCCGGATGGTGCGTGATGATGTGGTAGATGTGGCAGTGGCGATCAGAGGTGTCACGAGTGTCTTTTTTAGGTGAAAGTATGATTGTGGAATGAAATCCTGGCTTTGTCCTTGCAGTGAGAGAAGGTGTTGTGTACTAGTAGACGGTGTTTGTTGTACTATGAGTCTACTAGTGTGCGAGGGATGTTATGACGGACCAGAGGGCATTCCTTGCTTAGCATAGACTATTCAACAAAAGAAGACCGTCCGCGCGTGTTCAGCCGTCACAAGAAACACGTCCCGCTTTGGACACATGTAGTGTCCTATGGAAGCTACGTTCTACTTACCAACGACTTCCAATGGTCTCGTAACGACCGGTACTGCCCATTTGGAGGGCAAGTGCCACGCTTTGTCGCCGCCGCGGATAGCATTGACCCCGTTGTTTACGTCGCAGTGCTTCGAGAACGTGGTGATGACCAGCCTTCCTTGCTGTAAACATGCAGGGTGACTCTTCCTTAACAAAGCAAAAAAGGCTGTTTGTTCAACTTTGAGCGTGCACGAGTTTCGCATCACAAGAACAAGTAAATGCCCAGCTGAAAGTCAAACAATGAGTTGTGGTAATTGGTTCCAGTGGTCGGACCGTCAGCCAGCAACGGTTGTCATATACTGTTCCATTAATGTGAATACGACCAGATTTCGAGCTTTTGTCTACGTCGCGACGGTTTGCCAGTTGGACAAGCAAAGTCATTGTACTATGGTTTCTTTTTTTTTGGGAATGGATAGTGTACAAAGAAGAGTAAACAAGTGTGATTTGAGGAGCACGCTTTGGTCGCGTTTTATGTTTAATGCCGCCACGGAACGCTCTTGAAACAACATCCTCATCATCCTCGTTTTTAACGTGCTAACTGATAAAAGTTGCAGATTTTTACCTGCACCGAAACTCATTTTAATTACTAGGTTGGCACTAATCGCAACACGCCAACTGAGTTACGCTTAACCGCACTGTGGAAACGTGTTTGGAGCGTGCTCTTAATCAAGGTTAACACGCCTCGAAGCAGCCTCGCACGGGCTTACATATGTCATTCGCGGGCACACCTCTCGGTCAAGGCAGACGTCTAGATCACCACACATTCCTCAACAAGACAAATCTTGCTAAAGTTCACAATAATCCATCTGCTAGACCCGTCAATCCTCCCCCAAGTCCACCGCGTTCAATAACAACAACCTCGTACGCGTACGGGTGAGCACTATCATATCACATCTTACAACAGTACCCTCATCATATATTCACATATACCAGAGCCCCAACAGCAGGGTCCAAATCACCGAATAAACCCACATCATCTGCATCCACGGCTGACGCAGCAGACGACGAGACAGCTCTCGTCCGCTACGCCCGCCTAAAGCGCGAGCGGTCACTTCAGCAGTCCCAACCAACGCTCGCTCCCGAGACGTGGAGCGTAAAGGACACTTCTGTTAACATTGCAAGCGCATTCAATCAAGCCGCATCTACATTACTCGAGATGCATTCCAGCAATCCCAATAACGCATGGGCCTCTGGATCCCAAACAAACCTCAACGTACCTCGAAGCACATCTGTCGACTATGAGAAAGAGACCCACTCTACCAGCAGTCGCCGACTAGCAGCACCTTCGAATCGTCTTTCACAGCGCAATATGCGCAAGACTCTCTCAAAGCAGGACTCCAATATGACCCATGTGTCCGACTCCGAAGGCGAAGACAATCAAGAGTCCCAAGAACGTGACCGCAGTGCTCGCGGGAAGAGCCCTTTTGAGCAGGTCGTCGACGTTTCTAAGCGCGCCCTGACGTCCGCAACTTCCTTTTACATGCGTCCCCGCTCAACCGAGCCAGCGGATATCTCAGCTGCCAATACAACAACAAATGGCAGAGACTCCAGTTATGACTACGCATCAGAGGAGCAAGAGTATCAAGAGACAATGCGGCAAAAGCTAGCTCGTGAGCAACAAGAGCAGTCCGCTTCCAAGAGGCCCGCACTCAGCCACAAGCGGAACCGAATGTCCGCTGATAACAAGGCGTATCAGCCCTCACAATCTGATATGGAAGGGGACTCTGACGATGTTTCCGACGACGGGCGGAAAAGAAAGAGAAATTTAAGAAAAAGGATTTAGGTGGAGGTCCTCTGACGACGCTGCCAGTGGCAGGCTACGACAAGCGACGGAAGAAGAAGAGGGGCAGCAAGACTAATGTTGAGGGTGAAGAAGACGACAGTAGTAGCGGAAGTGAGCAGGTAAGGGTGAAGATATCTGATTTCGGCTTTTTTGCTCATTATCGTTCATAGCGCTCTTCGGCTCAGCATGGGTCAGCCACCCGCTCTGTGCCTCCGCCTTCAAGGTCCTCGATACCTCGCGGATCTGTCCCTCCCCATTCCGATGATCCAACTGACCTCGAAGTGGGGCTTGACTCCATTCCTGAGATGGATGAGCCTCCAGTTGTGGACGGCTTCTCCAACACATCTGACATCCCATCACGATCATTCTCGGTCGGAGGTCTCTTAGGCCTGGCTGTGAACCGTATTGTACGGCTCCTTCTGGGTATCCTTCGCTTGGGCCATACGCATTATCACCCTCCTGGCCCTCATTCTTGGCCGCATGTTTGGGTCGATATTCGACATCATCTTCATGCGTCCAGCCTCCTTTTTCTCACGTATCAAGGCGGGACCATTCATCACCCTTGCCAGATATCTTTTCGTCGCTGCTGCTCTCTATGCCACTTGGCATCAGTTCTACGACCCCATCCTTCAAATGCTACCCATTCGCTCACCGCAGCGCCAATATTACGCACCCGACACGCCGATCACGAACCTTGATGAACTTAGTGCTAGGCTTCAAAATATCGAAGTTGCTCTGTCTGGTCTTTCCCTTGACCAACAACGCGCTCGTGCGCAGCAAGATCTCGAGGCTCGTGCACATGGAGACGTCGTCAACCGAATCTTTGCTCTCGAGGCCCGCATTCGTGACGAGGCCAAGCGTATTTCCGACACTGAAGTTCATCTCGAAACATCTTCGAGTCAAGGTCTCGTTGACCTTAGACGGGAAGTTGAAGCCCTGCATTCTCAGCTAAGTGCTGTGGAACATGCGCCCAGGGAGACTGCGATTACGATGCCATCTCCTGTCAACGACGAAGAAGCGCGGGCTAAGTTGAGAATTCTGGAGGAGCGGCTTGGAGGCATCGAGGGTGGCGTAAAGGACACCCTGGAGCAAGCCAAAAACGCTGCACGTGCTCCAGTCCAGCGAACCCGCTGGCCCAGCTTGGTGGTCCAAACTGGCATCCACTGTTGGCACCGGTGCTGGTCTTACCATCAAGTCCACGGATGGCTCTGATGTCACTTCGCTCATCTCCCAGCTCGTCGACAACGCCGTTGCGCGGTATGGGACTCAGGATATCATCTCTCGTCCTGATTTCGCGCTCCATTCGGGTGGTGCACGTCCAATTCCTCATCTTACGAGTGGTACGCTTGAGTTGCGACCAAGCACACTGCGAGGGCAGATACTGGGTCTTATTACCGGGCATGGGTATGAAGTTGGCCGATCACCAATAACCGCTTTGCATCAGGATTTGCATAGCGGGAACTGCTGGCCCGATGGCCGGGCCTTACGGTCAATTGGGCGTGATGCTGGCATTCCCTACCATCATCTCTGATATCACCATTGACCACGTTGCCAAGGAAGTCGCGTTCGATCTTAGCACGGCTCCAAAAGACATGGAGGTATGGGGCCAAGTAGAGGGCAAGGATAATCTAGAAAAAGTTGCAGCATGGCGCAGCAGAACAAGCTGCGCGACGAGAGGCTGCAAATGAGGCTGGTGAGGCTGTCTCTGAAGCGGATCTTGAGGACGACCATCCGGCTACGCTCCCCAGTGACGTCTCGTTCATCCGCCTTGCATCGTTCACGTATGATATTTACGCGCCTTCAAACATCCAAACCTTCCCTGTGCGCCAGGAAGTCCGCGATCTCTCTCTGGATTTCGGTATCGTGGCGCTTGTGATGAAAAATAACTGGGGCAAAGACGGGTATACGTGTTTGTACCGCTTCCGCGTACACGGTGAACGCCCTGGAGGTGGCTCATTACCGTTCCCTACTGAAAACTCATGACAGTGATGACTTAGAAGTGAGCGATTGTGGTGTACATATGATATAATCGGTCTTTTATTTTTTTTGGAGTCGTTACTTGTGCTATGGTTACTATTTTATCTCTTTTATTTGTCGTATGGTCTACGTTGAAATCAAAGCATTTCCCCGAGTATCTGGTTTCTCGGTGTCAGTGAACACAAATCATCTCCCGATAAACCGGGTATATGCTCTTGATTTTTGGTGCACGTGACCTTGACGCGCCCTTTCACGCGTCATGGAAGTTCATGCTTCTTCCGATTCCCCAAATGATGGTGAATACAACAGCCTCGGAGTCTAAGACTTGTACTTGTGCTCAAAAATTAGTTAAAAAACCGACGTCTACGTTTGAAGTCGGCCTGGCTCAAGCTGCTCAGCTTGATTCAGAATACCATGAGTTAGAGTCATGAGTCAGCACCCCTGATTAGCAGGCTTAATATCTCCTCTCTCTTTCATCCCGCCTATCACTTCTTCACAACTTGAACATACACAATGACATGCATGACAGATAACGGTTTCGATATCACTGTCTTCAAAGGTTCCCCCAGCGGGAAGATCGTTGCGTCAACAACCCACAAAGACAGTCTCAAGCCTGACGAGGTCCTCCTAAAAATCACTCACGCCGGCCTTTGTGGCACAGATCTACACTACAAGACATCTGGTATCGTTCTCAGCCATGAGGGTGTCGGCATCGTGCAGCAGATTGGCCCCGAGGTCACCAACTTCAAAATGTATGCACCTTCAAAATTCCAGAGAGTCAAAAATTAACAGCATATGCAGAGGCGATCGCGCTGGCTGGGGATACTTGCATAACTCCTGTGGGCACTGTGACGAGTGCCTCAGTGGAAATGAAATATTCTGCTCAGAACGTGCAATGTACGGGGAAGCCGACAAAGACCAAGGCGGGTTCGCCTCGCACGCTATCTGGAAAGCTGGCTTCCTCTTCCATATCCCCGATGAAATCTCTTCTTCCGAAGCAGCTCCACTTATGTGTGCCGGCGCGACCGTTTTCAACGCTATGCACCTCTATGGTATGATACCTACCGATCGGGTAGGTATCATCGGCGTCGGCGGCCTCGGTCATCTCGCCATCCAGTTCGCTGCGAAAATGGGCTGCCAAGTCGTGGTATTCTCCGGAACAAAGGGTAAAGAGAATGAGGCGAAGAAACTCGGCGCAAGTGAGTTCTACGAGACGAAGGACATGCAGGCGCTCGAGATAGGGGCACCCCTCAAGCACCTCTTCGTCACAACATCCCAGCAGCCTGACTGGAATTGGTATGTGCCTTCTGTGATTTTGTGACTGCATTCTTTGATAAGTGTCGTATCATTTGCAGCTACCTCAATACTCTCGCACCACATGCCAAGATATACCCGCTCACTGTGTCCGCTGACGCCCTCAGTCTGCCGTATATGCAGCTCGTCGTTAATGGCATCACGCTCCAGGGCAGTATCTGCCCCTCGCGTGGAACGCATATCAAGATGCTACGGTTTGCAGCACTTCACCACATCAAACCCATCATCGAGGAGTTCCCATTGACTGAGGCTGGCATAGAGGAAGCGATACAGAAGCTTGAAAACGGAGAAGTGAGGTACCGTGCGGTTTTGGTCGCTCAGAATGACATCGCTGGTAAGTCAAAGTGACGGCTTCGATTCGAAAGTGTACATTGTGTGTCATGGTGTGTATGAGTATTCAAAACTTCAAAGCTTCACCTATCATATGTCCTGAAAATAATTTCCTTCCGTAACCGATGACATGCATCCTGCAAAATACTACTTGACATGAGCGTTCGGATAGGACTACACCATAATAGCAAGGTCTGGCGGCGACACAGGGAATCGCGGAGGTTACGGGTTACGCTAAACGATGTCCAGGTTTTGTACATGTTGAGCGGCGAATCAGCAGAAGTCCCAGAACAGCCGTCGTTGGATTCCCTGAGATCCGATGGTTCACCTTGGTTTTATTTCATCAGCAAGCCGATTCACAATGTCATAGCAAAGATCCGAGAAAATGCGTGAAATTTCAAAGCTATGGAAATCCAGTCTGATAATAAATTATACAGCAGTCATATTGCAAACGAGAAGAAACAATGTGGTAAGAGTCCATGAAGCAATGCCATGTGGTCCAAGTACCAATCAAACAAGAAACCCACCCCGCTGAAGAACGTAGTGCAGATATTTTTCAACCCCTCCGACTCCTGCTAACCGACGTTTACAAGGGAAGGCGCTGCTTCTCATTCATAGAAACGGACTGAGCGACGACGTTCTGTCATGAACAAGAGGAAATGAAAGTTTGTCGGTACGATTCAGAAAGGCACGATGCCAGAACCGACGTTGAAAACGGTTCCATAATTGGGATGCTGGCTCTGAGGTAGGTGCGACTGACTCACCTCGTCGTCAGCAAGGCGGATGCGAGTGCTCTGAGCCTTGGCACGGGCGCTCTTGACGAATTTGGAGAGAATAAACATGCCGAGGAGTAACACAACAGCGAGAATGGCAAAGACAGGTGCTGGAGGTCGCGTTCTGGGAACCAATGTGGAACAGGTCATCCTGAAGACCTGAGGTGCAAGCAGCGGCCCATTGTTTCTGGCTGGTAATAGCGTAGTTCTGGAACAGTGGTATTAAGAAGAGCAAATTCAAAAACTAGCGTGTGTGCTTGCCCTGATCTTGTAGATGAATTCCGTTGCAGAAATGTCAGCCTTGTGGCCGAAAGCGTGATAGGTCTCGAAGTCGCCGTTGGTACCATTCTTGAACTTGATCCTGACGAAGTCACGGTCTTCAGGGGGAGGTCCGCGGCGGAGCTCGAAGGCAAGAGCAGAAGCGTAGTTCGCTGTAGTCTTTGCGTTAATCGGCTGGATGCATTAAAGTGAGGTCATACGCACGGATAGCGGCAAGCTCAGGGTTCTCGTTGGTCATCTCAAGCATGTGGAACAGGGAGATAAAAGGCTGGTAGGAGGTCTCAACGAGGAGGAACTGCAGAGGGTCGCCGTTGAATGCAATCCGTTGGAGGGATTCCAAGACCGTGTGGAGGACTGTGCGGCCAGCCACTGAACAACAAGATTAATAGTGGACAGCGTACATGAATCGAAATCGGCTCACAGTTACCAATACCACCAACATCCTTGTCCGAGAAGATGGCATTTTCGTGGTAGTCAGCCAAACCACGAGCCTGCTCAACCAAGGTGGGGGGGAGACGATGAGCATATGTCTTGTTGTGAGAGAGCTCAGTTGAGACGTAGTCGTAAATCTAGAAAAAGTTCAACCCAACATTAGCAATCCAGGTTACATGGCGACACACATTCCACTAAATGGAGGTAATCAGCATATGTATCAACAAATGAATGGTGTAACCCACAGCATTCTCGAGAGTAGCAGAGCGGCCGAAAACGTAGTCCCTGACAGCACCGAAGAAAGGATCAGCAGCCCGTGCGGTCGCCTTGAACTCGGGAGACGAGTAAACATTGGAGATATGTTGCTCGAAAGCCTGCAGGTCAAGGTGAGATTGCGGTTCTCCAGGTTTGAACTTTTGTATTGCTTACAGGACAGTCGGTCCATGGCTCAAGGGACCTGTCGTTGAAGGGCTCGACAGTCTCGATGGGAACGTACTGGTAACCACCAAGGGGGGCAATGACGGTGGTCCCATTGGCAAGAACAATCTTGTTGGCAGGGTTGGGAGGGAAAAGACCCTGGAGGAGGGCAATAGCAGAGTCAAAGATTACGGTACCCTCACCGCCAGCCTTGACATGGACGTGGACCTCATGGGTGTCCACCAGGTCGGTTTTCAACCTCTCGATGTATGAAGGAGAAGACGAGGACATGTAGGTCGAGCGAAGGAAGGTTCCGAGCTGGTGAGACTCGGCCTGTGGTGAGGCTGCATTAGCTAGGGAAGTTACAGGCCGCGTAGTATCAGGGACTTACAGCACCAAGGGCAGTGCTTTCGGTGTAGGAGCTCTCGTAGGTCTTAGGGTCTTGGTAGTACTCTGTGCGGTCACCATTACGGGCGATGACAAGAACACCAAGAACGTCAGTCATGTTGGTATTGAAAGTAGCTAGGTGGTGAGAGTTGAAGAGCTAGAGAGGAGCGTTGTTCTGTTGAGACAGTTGGAATCCTCGTCCTTAAATCATGGTAGAAGCCAGTCGCTGCGCTTGTATGCCTTGCACTTGTGTGAGCGACGAGTCTAGATCACATTAGGTGAGCAAGGAGAAGGCCTGGAAAACGCAAGGAGGAAACAGCACGGAGCCAATACATAGAAGCTCGCGGAGAGTATGGCCATTCTGTAAATTGAAAAGTACATGCGTACACTTGCTTCCTGACGGCAGGACCGGAGTGAGCAAGCTCAAAACTCGAAAAAGTTTTCCTATGCAGGTAAAGAGGTCCCCGTCCTACTGGAATGACACGGTGAGTATCATGCCAAGATCATGGCCTCGACGTAGATAGTGTGCCTTTTCGGGCCAACAGCCAGGTGAAGATCATGGATAGCTCAGCCTTACAGGTGATTGATTTTGATGGGGCGCAAGCCAAATGAAACTCCGTTTACTGTTTTGGGTAGAGACACTGGACAGCCTATAACATGATCTCGAGGCACGTCGTATTTGCAGTGAATGGGTAAAAACTCGGGTAGTTGCCCCTTACTGATGTGACCGGGATTAAGAACAGATTGCGTTGCACGTTACAAACGCAATCCAAATTGGTGGAAAGGACTCAAGTTAAAGATGTTATATGGCTAGCTTTCTCCATTGCGAGTCATCATCCAAAATATTGGAGATGGGTATAGTGTGCGGAAGATTCGTCGCATGTTTGACGTTGAGAGGATGGGAAAAAGATCAAGATGTCCGGTACAGCGTAGGGCAGTGTCGATTTAATCAGGACGGCTTAGTGGCATGCCGCAGACGGCGCAGAGGGTGCGTACAAGAGAAAAGTCCTTGCCAAGTTTCCCGCGCAAGATATTCCGGGCGACCTCGTTTAGTGTTCACCTGGGCGGTACAGTTGGAATTAACAAAGCCGTCAAGCATGACTCCTCGGAACGCTCATGTTCGTCTCCAAGAGGCGTGCCCTCGCAGCCGCAGCTTAATGGTTTCTGGTCCAAGTCGGTTCCAAGAGGCGTGTTGGCCAGGACGGGAGAAATGAAAAAAAAATCAATATAGCAAGAATGGTCTGTGCACCAAGGTGATCCGTGTCTTGCAATCCAGCATGTCGATGATAACCTGCAAAACATACACGGACTTCATGAATACTTTACTGGTTCACGTGATCACGTGATACAACTTGTCGACGAGGACTCGGACATCGGCCACGATGACAAGCACGGTCACAGCGACAACTCACACAACGATGATGGCCACAATAATAGACGATCGTCGATGATTTCCTGCACGCACTTGTATACTTATTGCTCTGTATTCCAAACAACGTGTAATGCTACCGCATCATGTACAACTTAAAGCTTCATCATGATATGTTGAGTATCTTACATAAATCATCTCAAAATCTTTCTTCTGATCATAGACCTCGTGTTACTACAAACCCTTGGAAGCCATGATATCAGCTGCCTCTACAAGCTTCTTCTCGATGCCAGGCTCGCGCGAAGAGTGCCCTGCATCTGGGATGATGTGCAGCGTAATTTCTGGCCAGGTCCGTTTCAGAGCCCAAGCAGTAGTCGCCTGGTCCAAGCGACTTTAGTAAGGGCGTCTCTGAAAACATGAAAAATCTGCATACAGTGCATATAACATCGTATCTTCCTTGAACCACGATAGTTGGAATGTGACGACTAGGAACAGTAAGAAGGGATTGAGGACACGCGTAGAACACACGTACATCTTATCGATTTCCTGCTTCTCAAGCAATTGACCATCACGCATGAAGCCCTGCACAGTCGCCACTATAAATCGCAATCGAGCCAATTCTTTAACAGACAAACCTCATTGACGAAATAATGATTTTCGATCCGAGCAGATGTGCTGAATGTTCATTCAGCAGAAAATAGAACTCGCCACTGGGTCCACGTACTTTGCGAAGTCATCTTTCTCCGCTTGGGCGACAGCATCCGCACTTACGATCAACCTCGATGTAGCCATCCTTGTAACATGATGTCAGCAACAAGCATAGTGCCAACGGAGTGGAGGGCATTCTACTTACTCCCACTTCACCCACGCCTTTGCAGCGGCCAGTCTGATATTTTCGTCTGGAGAGTGCAAGCGGCTGTGGTACTGCCTTATCATGTCGTGCTGTTCAGCCTCTGGAATTGGGGCAAGGTATTCTTCCCTACACAACTGGGTCACCCGACAATGAAGGTTTGTCATTACTATGTTAAATTACCATTGTTCTGGGAAAAGATGGGAAGTGCCATCCTGATAGAAGAATCGCAGTTCGCTGAAAGAGGTAGGAAGTGGTTAGCATGCTCTACTTTAACTAATCGAGTAACCCATACCTTCGTCTTAGCGTGAGGATTCCACTTTGAAAGAATTGGTTGTTTAGGACTGCCTGGTATGTAACCAACATCATCGAGACTCACCGGAGTACGAGGGACTTGACTCTGTCTGGATGTGTCTGTGTAACGAATTGACTGCTCAGACAAGATATTGTATAGAAGGAATACGATCACAGACCTGAGCGTATGCAAGGGAGAGCGTAGAGCCCTGTACATCTCCATCAGTGATGGAGTCTAGAAGAAAATGCACTAACACAAACCCAGCTACCACCAAATACGTGCCATTTCGTGACATCCAGTTTCTGCCGAAGGACCTCGATGTCTTTTACGAGGTCCCACGTTGTATTGTTCTCTAATTCCGCGCTCCTACGCAATTTCATGCAGGAGCGATGTCAAAGAATTGACGGGACTTACGGAATGGACTTTCCTGCACCCCGTTGATCAAATAGCACGATCTACAACATCGAGAGAGTACAATTCATATTGATAGGAAGATGCCCTCTATCAAATGACTGTTTCTTACCTTGTATTTCTCGGGGTTAAAGAACTGTCTATCCTCCGGATCTGTTCCACCTCCTGGACCCCCGTGGAGAAAGACAACTAATCAACAGTTAATAACCTCGATCTGGAGTTTCTGAACTGCATGAAATATCATCAGAGCACATACCTGGATCGCCTTCCTTGTTTCCACTCACTTCATAACTTCCAATCGATTATCATCGATGTTACAACAGATGATCAGAAGACATACTAAAGCTGATGTTTCTCTGAATTCGCGCCCTGGAAAAAACCAGACTCGTAGGGCTTGATGGGAGGATACATTGCTGCAGGTTTCGACAAAGTGGCGGACGGAGATGTAGGTTGTGAGCACAACTTGAAGGCAGTGGGAGACAGTCACTGCGGAAACGAGAAAATAACTCTACCCTAACTCGATCGACTTTCCAGGTCTAACCCGACGTAGAAAGTACGGAGTACTATTTCCAGACCCAAATTCGACCTGGCGGATTTTTCAACCTTATAGACCCGTGAGATCAATTAAACCAGACCCAAATCGTACATCAGGTTTAGTGTTGCCGCAAGTCGATGCGGTGTGATGCGGTGCTAGCGAACTCGAACAAGTAAACGATTCGAGTTGTATCGAGTTACACACCAGTGCAACTAGCGAGTTCGGAGATGTTGTTTGGGAATTAAGTCCACCAATCAACGAGCTCAGATCTATCTCTTTCTGGTTTAGCAAGTCAAATTTATTGGCGCATAAATAGCTATATTTGGCAGAAACAGAATTATATATTTCTACAGTCTCCCTCAATAACATAGTCAGCTTCTGTTGCAATCCAATCCATCAGCAAAACCCTCCTGGGCTAAATTTCGTGTAATCTTGAAAGTTTGTATAATTTTTCCTAATTACTCGTGTTTAGAAACAAAGTTGATAACAATGTAGCGGCAATATGAAATTGTTTCACAACAGAAGATAATTAGTAAGGATTATCTGAATATTGAAAAAGTATGTCTATCAATGTATGAGTTGACCCAAAATGTGTTACAGTCCTCAAGAACAGTACTAGTCTCGCTCGTCCATTCTCGTGGAGCCGAGTCTCCAAACTTTGGTATAAGGTGGATACTGCACACGATATAACCCACTGGCACAATACTAGCCACTCTGTCACTACCTCGCATCAATCTTGACAGTTTATAAAGTCCATTGTTTCGGTCTGGAGCAGATGGGAAGGGAGTGAACCATTCAATATATGCGAGGTGAGGAGGAATGTTGACAGTGGGTGGAAAGAGCAATTGTAAAGACTTTGGGGGCAAGGAGAATATAACTCGAACTTGACCCACACTGAAACCTAATGAGTCAGTGAGCAGCGAGTCCTTGAGTAACAATCAGACGGCTGGCACTGAATCATGCACCTTTGAGATCATTTGTAACCGAGTCTTCGCAATAGCTAGAAGATGATAATGTGGGATGCAAATACAGTTGAAATGCTCATAATGCATAAGATGACTATGCATAAGATCTCGTAATGCATGACAAATGGTGGGAACCAACTTCGTTCCTATGTATTTATGCACAAAATCTACTATTGAATAATGCATAGAGCTTTATAGACTTATGCATCATTATATATACTACATCGAGTAATGCGGAGCCTTTGCTCACTAGGGACCCTGCCACAAACTGACGCTAAACCTTTGCTGCTCGTGTGTAACAAATAAAATCAAGCAGGGCATAATTTTTCCTGCTTTTCAATGGCACCTGCAGACCCCCCAAAGTGTAAACCTCGTCACAACCATAAACCCTATGTTCATGTCATGAAACCCAAGGTCAAAGACTTACCCAAGACATCTGCATTACCCCAGCCTCCAGCCCATGCATGACACAATCTAACACTCAGTGACTGGCTAACTGTAGTCAGATATTATGATGATAACCAGCCTATATCACAGGAAGATGTTGTTAAGCATTTCAAGAATCTTCCTCAGGGTGCTTTGATATTTACTCAATCATCACTCTCTCGTCACATCACAGCAAAAGGACGTAGCAATGATCAGGCCCGTTTGTCATCAAATCCAACAGCTCTTTCAGGGAAAAGGGCCCGGATCATTACCTGGCCAGATGTTGAAAAGGCACTCGTTTTGTGGGTTGGTCATATGGAGCAGAAATGTGAAACTGTTACAGGCCCAATGCTTATGGCAAAATGTGCAAAATTTGAGGAAGCCATGGACATACCAGAGGATGAGAGGTTAAAAAGTGGTGGTTGGGTACAAAATTTCCTGCAAATGTGAGCCAAGAGATAATATTTTACAGCATATTGACTTTCTATTTCTTAGGTACAATATGAAAGAATATCGTCGACATGGAGAGGCAGCATCTGTTAATTTAGCAGCAGTTGCAGCGGAGCGCCAAAGAATCTCGAAATGTCTCGAAAAATACATGCCAAAAGACCAGTGGAATATGGACGAAAGTGGACTGTTTGGATTGTAGGCAATCGTGAAACTTCATATTATAGCTCTGACATACTGTTTCATAGTGCTCCACCAGACCGTGGATTGGCATCAAAGCAAATGTCTGGAAAGAAATCAAATAGATTTCATATCACAGTTGCCTTTGCATGCAATGCTGATGGAAGCGAGAAACGGCCAATTTTTTATATAGGCAAGGCAAAGCAACCTTGCTGCTTCGGCAAAAAGACACCTGCATCCTATGGTTTCTATTATTGTAACAACAAAACTGCCTGGATGACATCTGCATATTTTGAAGAGTCAGTATTTCTGTTATTATGTTCAACAAGCTGCTTATTTTGTACTCGAGGTGGATCAAACTTCAAGACCTGCATTTCAAAAGTCAAAATCGGCACATAGCATTTGTTACAATCACTCTACTTCCTTTACTTCTCGCGTATCTGCCATTATGCCCTACATTTTCCTTAGCGACTTAACTTTCCTTTCTTGGTCTTACTTCCGTATTCGGCTCTTGTACTATCATCTCACCGTAGCCCTGGTCCGTGCGCATATAGTTTCCTATTTAAGCACGTGTACTTTACTTAGGAACATCACTTCAATCTTACTAGGTTTTACCCTGAAACTTCCTTTGCTTAAGACCACCAATCTTAAGACGTCTGAATCGATCTCTTAGTCGAAGCACTCCTTTGACTAAGTCTACAAACCTCTTCTTATCTGAAGAGCTATACAGATCTCAACAACGTGAACGCTCTATCGAGCCTTTGTTGTTAAGAACTATCCTAGTTCGTAACAAAAGATTGAAGTCGAAAAAGACACCTATATCCATACGTGTCAAAGAAACTTCGAAACCAGAACAGAAAAATCCTGACTGAGCAAGACAGCTAGTGCAGGCGAAGAAAAGGTCGACAATCTGACTTCACTCACCCCTACCTTCCAAGCCCTGAACCTTGGTACTCCTGTACCACCATTAAACATGTCGGCCTCATCCAAGACAACAGAATTCAAGATCAACCATCCTCCTACATTCGATGGCGACAGAGACAAGTCCAAGTCATTCATGCTCTCATGCAATGCTTACATTGATATCAACTCGGAAATCTATAAAACCGACGCTCAGAAAGTGATCTTCATCTCCTCGTTCATGAACGAAGGAAATGCTAGGTCATGGAAAGAAGAATTCCTCGCAGAGGCCCAATACATCGACTCAACCGGACAGAAGAAGGGCTATGGAACCTTGAAAGAATTTAACGAAAGCTTTGACAAAGCCTTCGGACCGATTGACCCATCTGGGACCGCGTTGGCACGACTCCTGGAACTAAGACAAGGCCCAGAAGGCCTGCAGACGTACATTGCAGACTTCCAAAGGTTGCTTACCCAAGCAAAAATCAAAGAAGAACATATGAAGATCTATCATTTCGAGAACGGCCTCAATGGAGGACTTCTAACCAAGATGTTCAACGCAGGAGGGGTACCCAAGAGCCTTGATGACTACATCGCTGCAGTAGTCGATCTGGATAATTGCTACGCAAGATTGTTAGCTCGGAGAAACAGGTTTCCTTCGCAACAAATCCAGAAGAAGAACGGTCGCGGAGATCAAAGATACATCCCTGCCAGAGATAGGGATGCCATGGTTATTGATCGGATCACCGACGAAGCCAAACAAGAATACATGAGGACGGGAAAATGCTTCAACTGTCACCAGATCGGACATCGGGCACGGGAATGTCCGCAGAAGAAGAAAGCCCCCTACCCAGCAGTGAGGAAGGTAGAGGAAGAAGAAGCTAGAAGAATTGATGAGGATTTTTAAACCGGAGACCTATATCGACGATAGCATCTCCAGCAAAACCTGTACGCCTAATACGAACAGTTGGTGAAAAGAAAGAACTTCGTGTCCCCATAACCCTCGTATCCCGAACGCGTCAGAAAAACGTCGAAACCACCGCAGTAATTGACTCCGGAGCATCAGGAACCTATATCTCTGAGGACTTCGTAAAAAAGCATAACATCGGAACCAAGAAACTCGAAAACCCTTTTTACATTAAAACCGCCGATGGAAGCTACTTCAGTAGCGGACCGGTAGAACGGTATTGCACGCTGATCGTCCAAATCGACCAAAGGATGATGATAGGAAAATTCAACATTACCAAACTAGGAGAAAAGGACCAGATCCTACTAGGGATCCCCTGGCTCCGAGCCATGAACCCCGCTATAGACTGGATCAAACAGACGGTATCCCTTCCGGCAACAGAAAAATCTGCCGAAATCGAGAAATATGTCAAGCAAACCTCTCGGCCACAGAAAACCTTCTTCACTAAGAAATTCAATACAAAAGAAGACGCTTGGAGTACGTCACCATCATCTCTAACCGAACTTACAGACGAAGGAGAATATCTCCGACAAATCGAAGAGTCATCCAAGTTTAGTAACAAAGCACAGGAGTTCGCCTCAGAAGAAAAAGAAAAGAGAAAAAAAACTTTTGAAGAATTGGTACCGGAGTATCTCCATGATTTCTCTGACGTATTTGCAAAAAACGGCTTGAACGAACTACCCCCCGAAAGACCCGGTATCGACCATCATATTGAAACGAAGCCCGGATTCATTCCCAAAACGTCCAAAATTTACCCCCTTTCCTACAACGAACGAAACGCAGTAAAAAGATTTATTGAGGAAAATCTTGCCAAAGGGTTCATCACGAAATCTAAATCCCCTCAAGCAAGCGGATTCTTTTTCGTAGGAAAGAAAAGCGGAGAACTCAGACCATGCCAGGACTATCGCTTCTTGAATGACCAGACTATCAAAAACGCGTATCCCCTGCCACTCCCATCATCTTTGGTCGAACGGTTACATGGCGCAAAAATATTCACAAAAATTGATATTCAATCCGGAT